GTTACGGTTTCAGCATTGCTAGCTGTAACGCCTTCTCAGCTTTAGTTTTGTTACGTCACGTGATCTCTTTATGCGGGTATTTTGGATTCGCACGTGGACTCTGAACCGCTTTAGGACCGTGACAAAAATCTTTATGTAGCTAGAATTTAAGGAGGAACATGCTCGTGTTTTGTGTTGGAACCTAACAGTTTTTGACGGTCAGTATGGTTGAATTTCGATCGAACTGTTGTTAATCTTTAGTTCGTGTTTATCAAGTTATCGTCTATCAAGCCTTAAATAAACGGACCAGCCTGATTTTGTTAGACTTGTGGTTGCTTCACTACAGTTTTCTCGCGTCCCTTTATTAATCGGTAAAGGCGGCCGCTACACTAGCATTATTGTTGGATAGGTGTATGGCCTATAAAGATCGTGGAAACTCTGAAGGGAACAGGAAACCCTCTGCTTTAGCAGACGACGTCGCTGAAGCCCTGCTAGACTTTGTTTAATGCGTTCAGCTGCTGTGCGATACTGGAGTCCCAGCGAAAGGATATCAGTAAAAGAAGACCATGGCGATAAGGCACTTTATTACGAGGGGCGTCGAATGTTAAAATCATCAGAGGTGAACAAAGTAGTGGTTGAGGAATTTGAAAAGACGAAATGATCTGGTGCGGGGATGCTGGCTTTCACTCTGAGGGACAACCTTATTGAGAATAAGTCGAGCTAAAACCATGAGGAAGGAAATTTTAGTGTACTTAGAAAGTAATCCAGGCGATAGCGACGGCCTCCCTCTTTTGGAGCATTTGGCGGATGATGAGTTCGCTTGCTGGGACGACCATTTAACTCATATGGCTCGAGATAAAACCTATGGGGATCAGATAACAATGTATGCACCAGCATACCTGTACAACATCGACCTCCAAATAGTGTCCACTCTAGGAGTTGGTGGGCAGCATGTATTCAGTTCTTCAGCAAGTGTTTCAGCAGCTACCGTGTACCTTGGACATTTTGCTAAGAACCACGGCGAACACTATATCAACTTGGAACAATTTACGGATCACAACGACGGTAGTGAAGAAGACTACGAAGCAAATGACCTAGAAGAAGGAGAAGCTTCCGCGGATTATGCAAATAAAATGCAATGGATAGAGCGCTGGACTGTTGTGCGGGAGGTCGAGGGTTCGAGCCCCAGCCGGACCAACACTCAGGGTCTTAAAATAATTGAGAAGAATTTGCT